CAACCCCCCCTCCTTCCTGACTGCCCCCCCCGGATCCCCTGCCCCATCCACCCCCCCACTCCCTGTCCCCTGACTGCCCCCTTCTGCCCCATCCAACCCCTCCTCTCCTTCCTGACTGCCCCCCGGGACCCCTGCTCCCATTCAATCACCTATTCCCCACCCTCTGACCGCCCCGACCCCTATCCACACCCCCGCCCCCGACCACCCCCCCGAACTCCCCTGCCCTCTTATCCAACCTCCCCCCCCACCCCCTTAACACACTGCCTGGGGCAATGGTGGCTGGCGGCGTGGCTGCACCAGGACAGCTCTGCAGCTGCACTGCCCCAGGAGCTCGCAGCCCCACTGCCCAGAGCATTGCACCAGCGAAGCAGTGAGCTGAGGCTGCAGGGGAGGGAGGATAGCAGGGGAGGGGCCAGGAACTAGCCTCCCGGGCCAGGAGCTCAGGAGCCAGACAGGACGGTCCCGATGTGGCCCGCAGGCCGTAGTTTGCCCACCTCTGGCTTAAGGGCATCTTATGCTACTTTTTCCGGGAGGGGTGGGTTTAAAGCCTTTGTTTTCTTAAGGGAAATAGTTACAGGATGTTCTGACAAACTAAGTGTTGCTTCTCTCCGGCTGCTGAGTTATTGAGGAATCAAGGATTTTGCTTGGATAGCAGCGACTCACCATAGTGATCAGATAGTAAGCAATAACACGTTGCACCAGTCTTTTGCTTAAGAGTCAGAGTGGAGAATTAACCAGCTAAGGGGGCCAGGTCACCTGCTGCAAGACATGAGTAATTCCACTGACTGCAGCAGGAGTTACTCAGATCCTGTGGCAGGAGAATAGGGCTCCTGTCGGAAAGAAACACGTGCAGGGCCATATTCTCCACTGAAGGCAATGGGAGTTACATCTACCCTGTGACAGGAGGATCAGGTGCCTAATGAGGGTGAAATCCTCTGCAGGGGTCTGATCATCCACTCTGCTGTATCTGTGCAGCTGCATTGTCTCCAATGGGGAGTTGAATGGGCACAGCTGCTGGGATAGTAAGCCCCTCTCCCCACCTTCTAAGCAAAGAGCCTATGTGACAAAAGAAAGGAATCCTTCCCAATATGCAAAGCACTGGCATGTCTATGGGGTGGCTGCTAGACAACCCCCAGACTGGAGTAGCAGCTGGGTTGCAGGTCATGTGGACCCACTGGCCACACTCCCTCTCCTTCCCCAGCCTACCCACAGTCGCACTGCCGGCCCAGAAACTCTGTGGAGCACACTGGGTTTCAGATTCCCCTGGACAGGCTCTTCCTCCTACATTGCTTAAGAAGTGCAATCACTCTGCTGCCTTTCGAGCCTTGCAAGCTGGCACAAATGGGGGTGGGGTTTCCCCCAAGCAACTATCTGCAGCCCAGTAAAAACCACAGTGCCTGAAACCCGCGCACAGTTTACACTTTATTTAAACCTTGGGAGGAGTTACTATAAAAAAAGGTCTAATTTGCTTATTGTCATTTCACTGAGAATCACTAACACACTCCTTAATAATATTTTCTATCTCAATCTTCTCTAACACCATTCATCCTGCAGGGCCCCACTGCATTTTACATACAGGCAGTTTACTGAGTAGACTGAAACAGGAGAGGTAGGTCTCTCCTCATCAGTTGGGGGGGGGGGGGGGGGGAGTGGCAAAGAGATCTGTGGAGGTACCTAACTATAGAGTTATACAGAAAATATCATTCCTAAATGTGTCGTGTCTCTAAAGGAGGTGACTAACCTATCCACATTCTTCATGCAAAACAACTTAATGTTCCCAATCATTTGCAGGATTATTGTCTGATTAGCTGGCCTGATAGTGGAGATTGCAAAATACACTTAGACAGCAGCATATCTGCAACATCAACACAGGATGAGTTCTGAAGTCCAGCTGAAGGAAGTTGCCTGCCCCACCATACAAAGAACACAAAGAGGAACAACAATAGACAGCCGGACATCCCAGATAGCTTTTCTAGCCAGATAGACACCAGAAAGGAAGGGCAGAAGTGAGCCTGTTGTTTACTGAATCTGTAAACACCCAGCATGAAGCATACAACCCCCGAACATACCTCCAGTGAGAACCACTTTCCGGTTGCTCATTGCTACCTCCTTTTCAGGTGCTGTAACCTTTCCCACCCACACAAATATCACTAATTGCAGATGCACATACTCAGGCCCAGCTGGTATAATTCAACACAATGCCACTGATGAGCTCAACTGATTTACATCAGCTGAGGATTTGGCCACTAGGGTTTATCTTGTCAGAAAAATGTTAGTATCATCTGTAGTCGGCATTCCTTATGCATGTTCCTTCGCTGTATATTTCATTTCCAGACAGTTACACTTTGTCGAATAGAAATTGGTAAACCCATGAAAACAAATGTGTGTACAACCAGAGACCATTCAAGTGGCCCTTTTCTGTTGTCATTATGGATTCTCAAATGTTTGCAGTGCGAACACAGAGTTGGGGGTTGGGCATGTTTAGTTAATCAAGGATCTGCACAAAACAACACGGGATTACCAGACATTTGCTCATAATCCTCGTGAGAAGTTCACTATAAATGGCAAAGCAGGGGATCAAAGCCACAGTGGAACTTCATGCTATAGTAGGGAATCCCCACGGAGGCTGCAACCCAGCAACTATTATGGGGATTAGCCAAGCAAAAAGAAATGCTGGCTAACCTCCCCCAGATTTTCAGGAGACTCTTTGGGCTAGATTCTGGTCTTACTCTGGTGTTCCACCAGATTTAGATCAGAATCTGACCCTTTGATAATACAAATTAATCTTACCTATGCTAGCAAACTCACTGCTAGACCACTGGGCCTGACCAAAGTCCGCTGAAGTCAATAGGGGTCTTTCCATTGACTTCAAAGAGCTTTGAATCAGGCCCATTGTCAGCCGTGAGTCCTGCTGAAACAGCTTAGAAAACCACTTGTCCACAAGTAAGGATGAAACAAAGCTTTTTTTGCCACTTTTGCACAGAAATTAGTTTTGAGACTCAAGGAAGCTGGTTTTGTCCCGTTCACACTAGCACTCAACTGTCTGCAGCACAGGTTCAGCAGGACTTATTGCTGATCACAGTTGTCAGTGATGGACAATGATTACTAAAACTAATATGCACAGAACAAAAATTTGTCAGCTAGAGGAATATCACAAAACAAGGAGCCCAGAGAGTGATTAAAGGATCTAAATATGTCGAACTATTTGAAAACATTAAGAGTTACAGCATTTGCCAACAGTGTTTCTGCCCAGCTGCTTCTCTGCCCTCCACAGAATTGGGCCTGGATCCTTGCTATGAGAAGAAAAAAGCAACCAAAAAAAGGTGTTTTTCATTTATGTTTCAGCCTGATAGTTGTTCACAAACCACATAGTATCCTTTTTTGAGGGCTTGATCCTTCTATTCAGTTTATGTTCTACTGTACTCATACCACTGCCGTCAACAGGAGTTTCACTACCATATGCCTAAGGCTGTTTAAACATAATGGACCGAATCATGAGGAATGCTCCAGATCTCGCATTAGAGTTAGAGAGCCCTCACATCTCCCATTAGAGTTAATGAGAGTTGTGGGCGCTTTCAGGATTTGACAGTTTAAAGGCTTTGGTCCTAAATGTTAAAGAAATTAGTGGATCAAGTCCCAGCTACATTAAAGACCGAATTTCGATCTCTGAAACACTGTGACGTTGCTCCTTTGGGACAATTCACCTCACAAAGCTCAGGACGAAGCATGTGAGAGCTAAGGAAAAAGCATGCTTTGTCCAGAGGATCCAACAATCTTTTAGAGAAGATCAGGTGAATCCAGAGTCTGACCATCTTTAGGAAATGCTGCAAAACCTTCCTCTTTGAAAAGGCCTTTCCACCCTCGCAAGAATGACACTCACAACACTCGCACCTCCCCCTTACCCAAAAAACCCCAAGCAACCCCAAACCAACCAAATAAACCCCAAAATAAACCAACCTCAAATAAACATATAAAATAAATTAATAACAAATGTTAAATGCTACTCTGAGCAAAGTTTTTACTCCAAAAATGGAGACATGCCAGAGAGTCCATGAAATGTATTAGAGATTTCATTATTGCTATTCACTTTACGTGAAAGGTGTGCAAATGCCACATTGGTGGGCAGCAGGATGGATAGATAGATAAATAGATAGATAGATAGAAATTCTGAAGAGGAAATGTGCAAGTGAATCAGGGCAAACTCCTCAAAAGCCATTGAAGTTACACTAGTGTAAAACTGGTGCCGGTGAGAAGAACCACATCATAGTCTGAAATTAAAAGAATAATAAATAGTTCTACGTAAATTCTCTGCAACCAGGCTTGCAGTCCTTGGTTAGGAGTTTTGCCTAAGTACTACAGAATTGGGCATTCCATTGGGTTGTGCAAGATCTCTCCTAAAAGCAGTTGATGACCATCAACATACTGTTACCAGTGATGGGTTTTGTGTGTGTGTGTGTGAAATAGAGAGAGAGAGAGAGAGAAAGTTTCTCTTAAATGACTGCAAGCATCTTCTAAACACCTACCAATCAATATAATCTCAGCCAGGACAGAAAGAGTTTGACTCTGGCTTTGTCTTTCATCAGAGTTTAATAAGCACACAGGCTTTGTGGTTAATAATGATGGCTAATGAGGCAGCACCCCAGCTGAGATAAAGAAGGGCTACTGGCAGGTCTTTTACTATAATTGCCAGGGTGATGATGCATTAGAAGAGTGGTTCCCAAAGGATCTGGGGCTACAGTATCCATTTACCAGACCTCAGCTACCCTGCCTGTCATTTACCTGTCCGCAGCCTAACGCAGTCTGGCATGGTGAGCAGCCAAGTTCCAGGATGGGGGAGCGAGGACACAGGAGAAGCTAGTGGGTAGGCTACGGTTAGGGAGGCTGGCCCTGGTCCCAGGCCCAGCATTGAGAGAAGGAGCCATGGTGGAGTCTGGGGTACCAGTACTAGAGCCAACACTGGGGACCACAACCCCGGGGAAGCTGCTTTGGGCTGGACTTACCACTCTGGGTTTGTGCTGGTCCAGGGTCTGCAGGAAGGGCGGGGCCTGATCCAAGGTGCGCTCGGGGTCGCTGGAGATGTCTTCCTCGGACTCTTCCCAGGATGAGGAGAAACCAGTGGAAGAAGCCGAAGAGGAAGACAGCTTCCTGATGGGCATGTTCACTTGGGGGCTCTCCCCGGCCTCCTCCTCCTGACCCCCTAGGTCAGTAATGATGACAGCAGGGATGCTGCTTCCGCAGCAGCCCTCCCCCAGGGGTTTCCCCTTTTGTTCTGTGGATGCCACTGTCACCAGCAGCTGATGGTCTCCAGGGTGGTCCTGCTGCAGCCGGGCACAGGCTTGATCCACTGCTCCCAAGGAGTTCCCAGACACTGGGCGCAGCTCCTCCGCAGAGCCAGCCCAGGCCAGCAGACTCCTGAGCTCCCCCCAGCAGCCAGTCCTGGGGGGGCAATGCTGCTCTTCACCCCTCCCTTGCTCCGGGGCAGTTGAAGTGTCCAAGCCCCTTGATCCACAGTTCTCGCTCCCCTCCTCTGTTGATGCAGAACCCTGAGTTTCTAGGGACACTCTGTCCTGCTCCATGATCCCTGAGCCCTGCGCGCTGTGGGTCCCCTCTCCTCGCTCCATCACCCCTGAGCCCTGCGTGCTGTGGGTCCCAACTCCTTGCTCCATCACCCCAGAGCCCTGTGTGCTGTGGGTCCCAGCTCCTGGCTTCATCATCCCAGAGCCCTGCATGCTGTGGGTCCCCGCTCCTGGCTCCAACACCCCTGAGCTCTGCGCTCCACTGGACTCGCTCCTCCTCTCCAATTCTTCCGAGCCCTGCGCTGTGTGAACCCTCTTCCTGCTCTCCATCACTTCTGAGTTCTGCGCTCCACTGCTCCCCCTCTCCATCACTTCTGAGTTCTGTGCCCTAGAGGACCCGCTCCACTTCCCCCTCTCCTCTGGTCCCTCCTGTTCGCAGGACCCGCTCCTCTTTTCCGTCTCCTCCGCTCCCAGCGCCCTGGGCACCCCACCGCCCCTCTCCATCTCCTCTGTACAACGTGCTCCAAGAGTGCTGCTCCCCCTCTCCGTCTCCCTGGCAATCTGCGCCCCACAGAGCCCACCCCCCCTCTCCATCTCTCCGGAAACCTGCACTCTGGTGGGCTCATGCCCCCTCTCCATCTCTCCGGGATCCTGCGCTCCGCGGCCCCAAATCCCCCTCTCCACCTCCGGCCAGGGAAAGGGGCTTCTCGGGTCCTTGTCCTCCTCCTTCCTGGGCGCTTCCTGTGGGGCTCCGCCGGGGGGCCGGCTGCGGCGGGGCGGGATGGGGGACGGCGATCTCCTGCCCAGCCGCGGGCTCTTGAGGTGCAGGGTGGCGGAGCTGTGCGCCTGGATGTGCGCCTCGAAGAGCCCCACTCTCTGGTTCACCTGCACGTTCTGCAGCTCCCGCTGGCGGGGCCGCGCCAGCTCTTCCCTTCCCAGCCAGCTCGGGCTGCTGGGCAGCCTGCCGCCCCCGGGAGTCCCGGCGCTCCCCGGCTCCTCTGGCGGCGGCTGCTCCCCCTGGGGAAAGAGGAAGGCCGAGCTCCTCCGGGGGCAGCTGGGGCTCCCAGCGCCCGGGCTGAGCGTGGCCAGCGGGCAGCAGCTGCCGTGCCGCTCCGGGACCTGCAGCACCTGCCCCAAGGGGGGAGGCGTCTTGCTCCGGCTACCGCCGCTCTTCACCTCGTTGCTGCTATTCATCATCACCAGGCTATTGAGCGCATAGCAGTACACAGCCATAGTACTGAGCCCGGGCGCTCGCGGGGGAAGCCGCCTCCTCCTTCTCCTCCTGGGTCAGCCTCTGCCGGGCAGCCGGGGTCCTCCCTGGGCCGGGGGCAGCACCATCGCCTGGGAAGCCGCAGGGGGGCAGAGGAGCTGGCCTGGCCCTTGCCCAAAGCTCCATAAACAAATCAGCTGGAGAGGAGAGAGAGAGCCATGAGCCTGGAGCCAGGAGCAACAGCGCTATGGGCATGGGACAAGGCACAGACTCCGCCCGTGAGCAAAGGGTAAGTGCCTGTGGTGTGGTGTGGTTTGCTGTGGCCCTCCGTGTGCTAGGAGTCGATTATGTACATATATATCTACTGCCTCTGTGTGTGTGTATGCCTCAGGGCCTGAATCCACTTACTGTGTATGTGTGTCTCACTCTGAGTGTATCCCCACGTGTGTCTATTTGCTCAGTCCCTGTGCATATCTGTAGCTTTGTGTATGTTAGGTGTGTCTCTCTGCAAGGCATGGAGTATGCCAAATATACCTATGTATACTACTTCAGGTGTGTATTTGTATGTCTCTTCATCTGGTTACATCTGTTCCTGTCTACTTCATTGTTTGGAGGGGTTTCTGGCTGACTCTGTACAACTTCTGCCTGTGTATTTCTACTGCCTTGTGCATGTGTTATCTGCATTTGTGTGTACGCTACATCTATTCACATTAGCTGATCAAAATTCTTCTGTCAAAACTGATTTTCAATGGAAAACTGGAACTTCAACTAAACAAAATCTTTCACAGAAATGTCTGCTTTCTGTGGAAAAATTCAACTTTTTGTTAAAAACACACACTTCTTGTAGTTCACCTGCCTCATGGCTCCTATCTCCTCTTGGCTCCCTCTCCATCCACACTACATCTCTCAGGATGGACTGGCTCAGCAAGTGGGCAAACTATTGTGTCTCAAGAGAGGCGCAGCCTGGCCAAGGAGCCCAACCTATAGAAGAGAATGGGGGCATGAAGCACTCAAACTACAACTCCCATACAGCACCACAAGAGAATTTCTAAATAACAATTTTCAAGTTTTGACTAAAAGATTTTGGCTTAAATATGCGTAAGTACTGGTGTGCCTTTGTCTATGCTGTGGGTATGTGTGTATATGTCTGTCCCCGTATGACATGAAGATCAAATTAGGTTCTCCTTAGAGAATGTGTTTCTTTTCAGTGTAAGTGTGGATAGGTCTGTATGCCTTTGTGTGGTTTTGTTTACTATGCATCCATATGTCTGCTGTTGGCTCTCTGTGTTTGTGTGCATCTGCATGGCTTTGTGCAGTTTCATGTATGTTAGATCTAGATGTGTTTACCCTGTGTCTGTCCCCACTGTGTGGTATAAGATTGTGTATGCATCTCTTGAATTAGTCTTACATATACTCTTGGGCACGCATGTCTAGTTTGTGTTCCCTGTATAGACATCTGGATGGGTGTGTGCTGCAGCTCTGTGTGCTTTTGTGTGTATGTGATTCTTCCTGCGTGGGTGACCCTCTGCCCATGTGTCTTCATCTGTTTATATTAGCTCGGTGCCTCTCTTTGTACATGTATGTTTGTATGTATAGCTAGAATTACGGCCTTCTTTTCCCTTTGGAGCATTTGAATTCTATGTATGAAAGATATGCATGAGTGTGTTGTGTGTGTCAATGTTTATTTATATGCACGTGTGCATACACAAGCTGTAGATGTAAATGTACTGTGTGCAACTGTATGTCCATGTATATTTCTGTGTGTCCTTATGACTCTATCTGCTAAATGCCTTTGTCTTGCGTATTAATATTAATTAAAAGGCATCTATTCGCTCCGGGGTATAATTTGCAGCGGTGTGCGTGTACAGCGGGGTATACAGGTGCCTATGCATCTCTAGAATTACAGCCTGCTGCTCGCACTGGCTCATGTTGTGACAATGTGCAAACGGGTGAGTGTCCAGGTGTGTGCAGATGTCGTGTGTGTGTACATGCCCATCTCTCTCGGAGCGTTCAGGAGAAATACATTTGAACGCCCCTATCCTGCTATGTAGTGGGAGAGCAAACCGAGAGCCTTTCATACTCAACTCCTGGCCGGAGATGCACTGTAAGGCGGACGGTTGAGTGGTTTTGCTGACAGCTTGCTTTCTCCTCCCTGGAGAGAACTCCGGAGCGCACATGAGCCTATTTGTATTTTTCTTGTAACCAGTTCACAGGTTTCACAGAAAATGATCTAACTGCCTTTTGCCACCACCATCTTTTCAAACAGGCATTTGCTGCTATCGCTCCGCTTGCCCGAAAAGGCAGGTATTTTGCTCCTGCCTGCAGCATAATGCACGAGCTAATGCCAGGGGGTGAAAATACTACAGTTACTCACTAAAGAGTGGAGAAGGCGGCTTGAAATGGCATTTGCATGGAGGCACGTTTGAGAAACATTGTGAAACGTGTGCGACTATTTTTTTTCCATGATCCAACCCCCCTGCCCTGCTGTTCTTCCCAGATAAAGAAAAATCCGCTTAATCGAGAGAAAGCCAAGGGGAAAAAATCGAATTAAACAGTCCACCCTTACCTGGTAGATCAGGGACTCACGCAGACTTCACAGTCCTGTTAGTTCACATCCCCTTGAAACACCCGCAGGAACTGAGACCCACACAAAATGCTCCAGAAATCATTTCCTCATCCAGATCAGGATTTTAAAATGTAGCCGTCTATATTCTATAGGAGAGGGGTTTTAAAAAATGGGCTAGTTTCTTTTTTGTTGACTCGTGGGGGCTTGCCTTCACCGGTCTGTTGTTTTGCTAATTGATGATCCTTTCCCCGCCAACCGCGCGATCAGCCTTGTCCCTTTCAGCTTTGCAGTTTCTTGAATGTTTGTTCAATGTGCGATTAAAAGCGAGCGAGCGGGCGAGCGAGGAGGGGCGGGGAGTAGGAAGGCAGGAAGGAAGTTGTGAGCCTGTCTGGGGTTGAACTCAGCGGAACAAGTTTCATTTTTTTTTCTTCTTCTTTTTTTTTTTCCTTTCCTTTCTATTGCTTGGCAGGACCGCGGGAGGGAAACACTAAAAAAAAAAAAAAAAAAAAAGTTTCCATTGTTAACTAGCAAAAAAAAAAAGGTTTCTACTTCTGTGGGTTAAAGATACACGATCCATTTTCCAACCTCAGCTTGATCTTGCTATGTATATCACTTGCTGCACTATTTTAAACCCTCAACTTCAGTTCCTTTTTCACAAAGAAGATCCCTGGGTCATTGCCTAACCCACACATGGGCTGCTGTTTGCATCTAATACACACCCTGCTGAGCTTCCAAAGCTCAGGAGGCAGTCCTAGGATAGATACCAGAAATAGTAATATTGTAAGAAGCTTCAGAACAAGGTGGGTTCAAATTAATTCTCTAACCTAAGTAGCATATTTTATAACCGTAGCTTTCAGGATTCTAATGCCAGTACTTGGAGGGTTAAATGCACCTCTGTGCAGAGGGCCTGCTCATGGCCAGTGTGTTTAAGGCCATTTCAGTTCTACCTACATCCTGTTTTGGAGCCTTAAGTGGTGCCTAGGGTTGTGTTGTAGTGTCCTTCAGCACAGGGGTACATTTCTCCCAAAGTGAGGACGTGACTTGGACTGGATGCTCCCCTGCCCCTTGTTGGTTATTTGCATCTGTACAAAGAGGGTGCAAACCACTACCTTTCCAATGGGGTACCTACTTTGCCCTGATGGAAATGACTAAAGACGCAGGGCAATGGAGAATCAGAATCCTCAGGGTAGATCCTCCGCTGATGTAAACTATCATAGCTCTGCAGTAACTTCACTTAGCTTAGGATCTGTCCCCTGTATTTCTGTAGGATTGCATCCTAAAGGTGGATCTAAAAGGAATCATGGAATATCAGGGTTGGAGGGGACCTCAGGAATCATGGAATATCAGGGTTGGAGGGGACCTCAGGAGGTCATAGAATATAGAATATCACAGGGTTGGAAGGAACCTCAGGAGGTCATCTAGTCCAACCCCCTGCTCAAAGCAGGGCAAATCCCCAATTTTTGCCCCCATCCCTAAATGGCCCCCTCAAGGATTGAACTCTCAACCCTGGGTTTAGCAGGGCAATGCTCAAACCACTGAGCTATCCCTCCCCCAAAAGCTATGGTTCCAGCTATCCCACACAGCTCCTGCAGGGCTTAAGCACAACTCCCATTTCGCAGCAAGAACGGGCTCTTGGCTGTGAAAAGGGGTGATATTTAAAATCAAGATAGCCATCTCAAATTAGCTATCTCAATATAAAATCCGTAAGGGAGGCAAGGCACTGCAGTTTTTACCCTTGTGTAGCTAAGATAACACCGGCTGGTGGTTATAGGGTTGACCTCAACTAGCTACACTGAGGTAAAAACAACCCATGTCTTGTCTCTGCTAGGATTTTATACTGAGATAGCTATCTCGATGTAAAACCATACCTCATTTTTGCAGTAAAGACATAGCCTCTGGAGTGAACAGGGGCAGAAAGTTCTTTGAACCTGCAGAAGGAGGTGTGGATTGCCAATCTCATAGACACACAGATAGACAGAGTGAGCACATTTTTGTTTTTCTATTTCAAGAAATCTTATTTAGCGCTCTGTGCAGGAAAAGAGAGTATTAGAATCTTTCCACAAAAAGAGCAACTTTTTCTGCAGTGTCTGAGCTCAGAGGGGCCTAGTCTTCCAAGGACTTAAGCATATGGGTAACACTACTCACATAAGCAGATACATTGAGTTCAATGTGAGTAAAGTTACTCCTGTGTAAGAGTTTGCAGGTCTGACCATTCGTGTCTCCCAGTCTATGCAATGTGTGTGTGTGTGTGGAAAATTTGATCTTAATCATACATTCAGAAATGCCTGAAGATTTGTAGGTGTTCCCCTTAAAAAAATCGGAAGTATTCTACAATGGCATGTTCACATGTGTGTTGCTATGTAGCCATACAGCTGTGTGTGCATATTTTAGACTACTACTGAGGGCTTATTTAGACTAAGGATTTTGCACAAATGTAACCACATTAGTGTACCTACACTAGTAGAAAGCTCTAATGTAGACCCACTGCCCTGGTGCAAAATGTGGCTTGCCTCTGTGTGACCTACCCCAGGATAAGTTACCAGGGTAAGTCACATGAGTTCAAGCCCTATTTTGCACCCATGCAGCACATCTACACTGTGAGTTTGCATTAGTGCAGCTACATTTATACAAAAATCCCCAATGTAGACAGCCTAAGAGTACTGTAATATTATTTTAAAGAGTCAGAAAATCTGACCTCCAGATCTAAATTTCTTCTGAATATATACATCATATACATCACTCTTTTAATCATACAGGGAGTGGTTAATAAAAATTTAAAGAAACAACAAATCCCTCTTAGCAACAAATCCCTTTTCGTGATGTTTAGATAAGGCAAGGAAATTATAGTTTCTAGACCTGGAATCACATAGGGGCCATCATTATATGATGAAGAGCAGATAAAGTTCAGTGCACTAGTTTTCCCATCAAGTAATCTGCAGAAGATAGGCCTATGGTGTACATCAGTTAGACTAAGTTGCAATCACAAATCTAACCAGGTCACAAAGGTAGACTATTTGGTCCTATGGAGTCATATTCTTGCTATGTAAAAACATGAAGGGGTGGGGAAATAATATTTCTTTCATAAGATGGATGATCAGTTCTATTATTATTATTTTATTATTTTATTACTGTAGTACATAGGAGCCCCAGTCATGGACCAAAATCCCATTGTGCTTGGTGCTGCACAAACACAGAATAAAAAGACATTCTCTGTTCCAAGGAGCTTGCAGTCTAAATATAGTAAAAGTAAAATTCTTAAACAACCACAAAAAGCCTAAGTCAGTGGCAAACCTACTTCAGTGGAAGTAGGACCGGGGTCCAAATCCTTCACATCTAAGTTTATACCCCCTGCTTCAAAATAAAAGCATTGTACTGCAGGGGAGACACTGAATGGACTGAGAGGATAACATACAAGCACCTGAACCTACAAACCGTTACCCATGCCAATAGTCCTTACTCACATGGAACATTGCCACTGAAATTAACAGGACTACTCACCTGAAGAAAGATTTGCAGACTCCAGACCTATATATTCAGGAAGCAGAGTGGAGACAAATAATGAAAGCATGCCATAGAACTGAAGGTGTATAAAAGACTCCCACTGACAGAGGATAGGAATATTTTACGAAGAGAAACTTCATGATTCTCAAAGTTAATGATAATGTAGTATTTTTTATGTACAGTGCAGTGATCAGTGAATTATACATAGGTTCTAAAGAAGAGTACACTGTAAAAGTCAGCAAAACTGATACAACCCTCCCCCCCGTCTATTTATATATCATCCTATCTAATAATAATAACAATCCCAAAGTATCCTCATTCCTAATGGAATTCTGACCCACTTTTGTTACAAGATCCATCTCTGTTAAATAACCAATCTCTGTCAGTCTCTTGAGTGGTTGCTTAAGAAAGTTTTCACTGTGCATTAAAAATGAATTTTCAAAACAGGTGTGCTTGTCACTGTTTAGCTATCTCTGCAACTATGAATGGTGTTTACAGCCTCCCAGTGGCAGATATTTTATTGATTCTTCCCAGCAGAAAGACCAGTTGTATACCAATAGGAAATATGAGTATGTAAATAAATGTGGAGTAATTCCACAGAAATCAACAGACTTACTCCACATTTACCTCACTGTAACTGAGAATGAATTTGGCTAATATTTTATTTAAAAAAAAAACCACACATGACCTAACAGGAAATACAAGCCAAAACTAATGTTGAGGGTTGGCAACTCTTCATGAAGCATGAGCCTTCCTGTCACAAGAATGATACACTTCTGATCATTCCATGGTGGTAGAGTGGGTTGGTGGGTGACACAAAGGAATGGGAATAAGGGTCTAGAGTGTTATTCAGTTGTAGTCCAGTCTCCTTTGCATTGCTTCAGTGGCTTAAAGGGGTCAGAAAGCAGACACCTCTGCCCAGCTGAGAATTTCTCTGGCATGGGACAGCTCTTAGCTGGGTCATAGCTGGCTTACCAGATGACCAGGCCAACATCTTCCCCCTCATGCATGTATTTGGCTCCCAGCATGGGGAGAATATTAATCTGGGAAGAGGGCGTGGCTGGAACATTGCGCTCCAGCTCTTGCTCAACAGGTATATGGGCCCAGATCTTCAAAGGTATTTAGGTGCCTAACTCCCATTGGCTTCAGTGGGAGTTAGGTACCTAAATAGCTCTTAGAATTTAGAGCTGCCTCTAGGCTCCACTAACCTACACTGGGACTCAGCTCAGTGTAGAATCACTGTGAGAATCAAGGAGTCAGTTGTGGCTGTTTGAGAGCTGCCCCCTCTCTGCTGTGCCACGTAGAAGCTCAGTGAAGCAGAGAATCTGATGCAAGGATTTCTAGGTTCTGTTCTTGGCACCACTGCTGACTTGCAGCTTGATCTGGGGGATGTTATTTTTTAAAATATCTTTCTGCCTTAGTTTACCTGTCTGTGAAACAGATATAATAATATCTACTGTGCCTCACAGGGGTGTTTATGTCACTTGATGTTTGTTGCGTACTGTGAGATCCCTCGATGAAACAAGCTATGTGCAAAGTATTAGTAGTAGTACTCTAAGAACATGGGGCTGGATGATGTGTTCTAACTCTTGTAGCAGGGGGTTGGCGGACTCTGAAAGAACTCAAGTGCTTTGATAGTTCTGTTTGAAAGGTATTATACAAGAGCTAAGGAACAGAAATTATGTATAGACATACACATGCAGAGAGACAGGGTAAAAGAAATTCTGTGCTAGGCTTAGGCACCCATCAGAGATCTGAGACATTATTGTTCTGTTGGGCACAGAACATTCATGCAGAGGGTACCTTCATTGTTTCATTAGGTAACATACTAAAATGTGTGTGTGATTGTGAAGACACACTGGTTTTA